TAAAACACATATCATATACACTGACCATTTGTATACCAATATAACAGAATCGTAACCATATAATTAATCACGATCATTAATTTGTTAGTATATTATAAAATTTAATAAGTGTGAAAAATATGTACAAACTATTGATCATCATAGTATTGTGTCTGCCGTGCTTAATAAATTGCATACAATATAACTTTATAAAGTACCATGATAAACCGAATGATTTCAAAACTAAATTAATGATTTCAACGCGTGTGGAGACAGTGAAAGATCTAAAGTGTTTGCTTCATGCGAAGGGTCTGTTCAATCCTTGCACCCAGGTGGTTTTGTTTAAATATTTCAGTTATAGCAAACCTGAAGTATTTCCCAATGATTATCAAATGAGCAGGTTAAGTTCCTATGATGATTTATTGATTTACCCCAGAAATGCTCAACGGTTTATATTGTATGTGTTGTGAGCTATGGTTTGAATGTTCACTCGTATTAATTGTGTTTTATATATTAAATATTATAATAATTTATTAATAAATATAATTTTAATTATAGTCTGAGCGAAGAGTCGGACCAAAAGTGTCGTGAATTGTGTGAAGAGATGTCGGCTCTGAAGGCAAGCAATGAGTCCGAAGTGAAGGCATTGAAAGCACAGCTCAAGTCAGCCATGGATTCAATGCAGACAATGGAGACTCAGATCAAGGATTTAAAACAAAATCTTTTAAATTATAATAAAAGGTATTAAAATATAAAAGAAATAAAATAATCGTTTAACAAATGAATGTTTGTCTATATTTTACACTAACTTTATTTTGTATTTTCTAATTAAAGTTTAAATGAAATGTCGATAAAAAACAGTGAATTGAGTGAAGAGTTGTCGGCATTGAAGACATCGAAACATATCATTGAATCCGATGTCAAACAAATGGACAAAGAAATCAATGCACAGAATATTAGGTTTGAATGAATTTTAAATATTTTGTAAAACAAATCAATTAAAATTAATTTTACATTAATAATTTATAAACAGATCTCCAGTGAGTGATAACTCTTCATCGATCGGATCCCACAATCAATTGACCACTAATTCGGACAAAATCAGAGATGACATCAATATTGACCACAAAATTACTGAAATCCAGAATCAAATGAAATATAATAACAAAATGACAAACAATTTATATAATTATTTATTCGGTGAAAATAATTCAATAAAAGCGTTCAAAGAGATCGTAAAAATGTTAGAAGACTCGGATGACAGCGAATCCATGGCTAATGTTGGCAAAGAAATCAATGCACAGAATAATAGGTTTGCATTTAATTTAAATATTATTTATTTATGTTTTTTATTAAAATTAATTTATAATCAGATCTTTAGTGAGTGATACCTCTTCTAACTCATCATCGATCGGATCCCACAATCAATTGATTACTAATTCAAACAAAACCAGAGATGAGATCAATATTGACCACAAAATTACTGAAATCCAGAATCTAGTGAAAGAGCAAAACAAAACGACAAACTATTTATTAAAATATGTAATCAAAGAAAATTCGTTGAAAACACTCAAACATATCGTACAATCGTTTGAAAACTCGGATGACAGCGAATTCATGGCTAGTTTTGGTAATAAATTAAAATAATTCAAAGCAAAGAATGTCACAAATTATCTATTTTTTAACAATACTAAATACAATTATAATATTTCATTAAAATTAATTATAAAACATAATTAATACATAAACATTTTATCTCGTTGTAAATCGTACCCAATTTAATCATAACATGTTCATTCTTTTATTATAACAACAATGAATAAAAATGTTTCTAAATTAACAAATTAATTTGTAAATTAATAATTTACGGAATGACAGAATAGGCTGCGATCTCACCACTGGGTAAGTGCCGAGTGCTGGCACTTCACGCCGGGATCTATGGGTCAGCCCTCGCGTAATACCGAGATTAAAGTCGTGGACACAAACACCGGACACAGTCTACCCATTAATACAGAGGGACTGATAGGCTTGAGAGGACCCAAATCACCATATTGTGTTATTTAATAAATAATATGCCTTTTTATTTAATTTGATAAATTAAACAATTTTTTATATTTTTTAATTAATTGTTATTGAATTGATGGCTAAACGAGTGTTCGTATAATTTAGTGTTTAAAAATAGTTTTTATTGGGTTTTGAAATAAATTATTTCGTAAACAGTAATTAAAAAGCAGTTTATATGTTGAGTGAATTTATTGACAAAACTAATATTTGCATTTTATTTGAATGCTATTTAAAGCGCTAACCTTTCATAAATACGGATTAAAACCCTTTGCATAGGATATGCAAATAATAATCAATTTGAAGTCTGGGTTAACAAACTATAAACTTTATATAAAACTATAACTTATAAAATACTTGCCATTTGTTTAGTAGTGATTGTCAGACAAGTATTGTTCACCAAAACACTTATCTTATACACTGACCATTTGTATACCAAACATACACAATTGTAACCATATAATTAATCACGATCATTAATTTGTTAGTTAATATTATAATATTTGATTAGTGTAAAAATATGTACAAACTATTAATCATCATAGTATTGTGTATGCCGTGCTTAATAAGTTGCATAGAGTATATAAAGTACCATGATAAACTGGATGATATTAAAATAAAACTAATGATACAAACATCAAGTGACAGTGAAAGATCTAAAATGTTTACTTAAAGCAAATGATCTGTTCAACCCTTGCACCCAGATGGTTTTGTTTAAATATAGCAGTTATAGCGATCCTGAAGTATTTCCCAATGATTATCAAATGGACAATATAATTTCCCATGATGATTTATTGATTTACCCGAGAAATACTCAACATTTTGTATGGTATGTGTTGTGAGCTATGGTTTGAATGTTCGCTCGTATTAATCGTGTTTTATTTATTAAATTATTTAATAATTATAATTATAGTCTGAGTGAAGAGTCGGACCGAAAGTGTCGTGAATTGTGTGAAGAGATGTCGGCTCTGAAGGCAAGCAATGAGTCCGAAGTGAAGGCATTGAAAGCACAGCTCAAGTCAGCCGAGGATTCAATGCAGACAATGACTGAAGAGATCAATGATTTGAAACAAAGTTTTTGAATACTGATAAGAGGTATAAAAGTGTTAAAATAATTGTTTAACAAATAAATGTTTGTCTATATTTTACACTAAATTTATTTTGTATTTTTTAATTAAAGTTTAAATGAAATGAAATTTATTGTTATTAAAAACATTTCCCACTCATTTCAATGCTATTTAAACATTAATAAACAAAATATTATTTATCATAGAATTTGCATATAATATGTAAATCATAATAAAATATCCATTTCCTAAAAATAGTATTAAATTGCAATTCATGCACATTGTATGGCATCGAATTAAACTAAAATGTTTTTGTTTAGCTAATTATGTGTCGGTAATTATATTTATCACATGCAAAAAACTGATGACAAATACCATACATATTCTTGTTATTAGTTTAGTAGTGATTTTGAGATCAGTTCACAGACACACAGAGAGACAGTCAGCCATATATCTGACAATAATTATTATTCAAATTAAATTCATTATTAAATTATTTTAACCATAAGCTAACAATCGCTAGTATATAATGATACATTTGTTACATCGTTATGATAACTATAACCAGAGTTTTGATTTACCATCAGGTGTTGAGACAATCAAAGATCTCAAATGTTTTCTAGCAAACAATGGTCTGTATCGTGAAAACAGCGAATCAATTACTATATCAAATTCATCGGGTGCTTATTTATTGTACCATGATAATTATAAATTGGCCACATTGTTTAAAAGCTATGCGGTAAAAGTGTCAAAAGCACCAATATCGAATGCGGTGGTTAAACCACAATCATTAACATCAAAGATGAGGTTTGATTTATTTATCAAATTTTAGATTAAATATATGCTTAAATATTGAATTTAATTAATTAAAATTTTTACATAAAAATAGTCTTCCCGTAAACTATTTGGCATCGAGTTCTTCGCCGATCGGATCCCACAATCAATTGATCACTAATTCAGACAAAACCAGAGATGAGATCAATAGTAGGGATATATTACTTGAAATCAGGGATGAAATGCGAGATCAAAACAAAATGACAAATAATTTGTTGAATAAATTATTAGAGAAAGAGCAACAAATATTGGATAAAATTGTAACCATACAACTTGATGAGCAAACTATTGAGTATAACACCAGAAAATAAATAATTAAATATAGAATTATCGCAATTTGATTCTAAATTTCTTACAATTATTGTAAATTTATGTTTTGCAGACTTTTTAAACACATGTATATATTAAACACTTAATAAATTAATATTATTTTGTTGTTGATTAAACCGAGTACTACGAGTTTGTATCATAAACTACATGTCCTGAATATTTGGTTTTTATATGTTTTTAAAATAAATGTGTATTTTATTGAATTTGAAAAATTGAATTATATTTTATGATTATTTGTTACCAAAAATAACATTTACATCACATTTAATACTTTATTCTATTTATAAATAGTAATAAATTAACAAATTCTTTGCATATCATATTAATAATATGATATTATACACTGTTAATATACAGTATATCATCTCTCACGAGTCAGACACGTCTTAGGTATTTATTATATAAACACATATTTTATATGATGTGTATTATATTACCGGTAAAAATATTATTATTAACATTAATAAACACATGTATCATAATATAAATATTATTTACCCTTGAAATTAAAAAACAAAATATTTACCTAGTTTCGACTGTAAAGTAACATTTTATCACGTACGATCATAGATACTGCAAAACTACAACCATATGCCACACAAATACTCGACATTAGTTTAGTCGTGAGACTTCATTATATCCACACCTGACCACTCGAATACCCCTACAATAAACTCTATAAAAATTATTATTAAAGTATTTGTGCAATAATATTCAATTGAGCAAAAAATGTCGCTTGATCATAGAAATGTCCAAATAAAGTACCATGATAAACCCAATGATTTGCCGATTGATTTACGCGTGCCTTTGCAAGTGGAAACAGTAAACGATCTCAAGTGTTTACTAAAGGCAAGTTACCTGTTCAATCCGCGCACCCAGGTCATTTTATTTAAGCCCAACATCTCAACAGCGAGCGCTAATTTCTGTTTTAATGATCATAAAATTGTCGAATTATGCGTACAGTATAAGTGTGTTTACATTTATCCGAAAGATCCAATGGTCGACACCAAAGCATTAGGGTATGTACTTTATTGTCTGTTTCTTTTATATTTATTTATTATATAATTTTTAAAATTAATTTCCTAAATGTTTATTAAAACTATAGTCTGAGTGAAGAATTGGATCGAAATATCACTAAATTGTGTGAAGAGATGTCGGCTCTGAAGGCAAGCAATGAGTCCGAAGTGAAGGCATTGAAAGCACAGCTCAAGTCATCCAACGATACAATGAAGACAATGGTTGAGAAGATTGAGATTTTGGACCACAGGTTATTGACTTCTGATAAGAGGTTTGATATAATTGTTAACATAATATGTTAACACAATATTATTGTAGTTTTAAATGCAGTTTAAACTAGTTTTTACAAAACAAATTGTTTTTTCAGATCCGATAAATTAAAACACAAATTGAGTGAAATGTCGACAGAAAACAGTGAATTGAGAGAAGAGTTGTCGGCATTGAAGGCATCCAAACATATCATTGAATCCAAAGTCAAACAAATGGCTCAAGAGATCAATCATTTAAATTTGAGGTTTATTTTAATAATGCATTTTTAAAATTTTCAATAAACTTAATGCTTTCTATTTTGACTAAACAGGTGTACAGTCAATGATTTTTCATCGAAGTCTTCGCCGATCGGATCCCACAATCAATTGACCACTAATTCAGACAAAATCAGAGATGAGATCAATATTCAGGAAATGTTGACTGAAATCAAGAATCAAAACAAAATAACATTTAATTTTATGAGAGGTTTGATAAGAGATAAGGAAAACAAAGACATGAGAGTATTGGCTGAAGACACGGATGACAGCGAATTCGTTGCAAGTGTTGGCAAAAACTTTGGTTTCAAATGATTTTTTGCCACAATTTTCTTCATTACATTTGAATTTCCTTTCATTCAAATGAACACAACTTTTGTGGAGAAATAAACTTTTCTTTTCAGTAAACTTTTATGGCATTCATTGAAAATACAAATAAATTTGAAAATTCTGTTTTTTATTGTTTTATTCAATCAATTCTGGGTTTATAACTTTTATTAAAATTATATTAATGCAGTTTTATTATGACATATTTTATTGTAAAATGAATTTTAATTTATATTGTATTTTCATTATTATTACAGAAATTAACTTTTGTATTGGTTTAGTATTATTTGATTGCAATAATTACAGTATTAATTATTAATACTACTATTGATTGTATTTTAAATTGTAAACATTTTTAGTTAATATTACATTAAATTCAAATAAATACAAAAATAATTCAAACAATTAAAGTGAAAAGTTGTTACATATTTTATGTATAATTTATTTGCTATAGTTTGCATTGAATAACATTAATGTTTTGCTTGAAACAATTATTCTGTTTATTTAAATTATGGTTTATTATCAACACATTTATGGGTTTTATTTATATGTCTTATAAGATTACGCTTATATACAAAACTTTTGTTACAATCGTTAAAATGGCAGACAAATGGTCTTTCTCCCGAATGTATGCGTTTGTGTTCATTTAGTCTATAATTATTGTTAAAACTTTTGCCACAATTATGTTCATCACATTTGAAAGATTTTTCCTTCAAATGAAAACTTTTTATATGTTTTGTTAATTTAAATTTAGTGGCAAAACATTTCTCGCAGTTATTTAAATTACAATTGTATTTTCGGGCATTTAAATGAATTTTCTTGTGATTCAATAAACTCGCGGATTGACTGAAACTTTTATTGCAATCATTGAAATAACAAACAAATGGTTTTTCACCCGAATGTATGCGTTTGTGTTGAATTAGGCTATATTTCTGACCAAAATTTCTGTCACAATTTTCTTCATTACATTTGAATCTCTTTTTATTTAAATGAACATAAGTTTTGTGTCGAAATAAATCTCCTTTTTGTGAAAAACTTTTGTGGCATTCATTGAAATCACAAATAAATCTCATATTTAAATGAACACCATTTTTATGTCGAATTAAATCTGATATATAGTTGAAACTCATATTACAATTATTAAAATCACATTTAAATTGTCGCTTTTCTGAATGATTTAATTGGTGACTATTTAAATGCCATTTCCATACCGTTTTATATTCACATTTAGGCCAAAAACAGTGGAAATATATTAGTTTTTTTAGCAACATTTAAATGGACAGTATTTCTATGAAGTAATAATCGATCGTTTCTTTTAAAACTTTTGTGACATTCGTTGAAATCACAAATAAATCTCACATTTAAATGAAAAGTATTTTTGTGTCGAATTAAATTTGCGTTATATGTGAAAATTTTATTACAATTATTAAAATCACATTTAAATTGTTTTATTGATGAATGAGATAATTGGTGTTGAGTTAAATGATGTCTATTTAGTGTTTTGAATTGACAATTGTTTAGCATTTTTTGGGCATTTAAATGAATTTTCTTGTGATTCAATAAACTCGCGGATTGACTGAAACTTTTATTGCAATCATTGAAATAA